CACTAGGTGAAAAACTGAGCTGCCTCTTGGGCAGGGGTCTCAAAGTACCGGCCCGATGAGGCTGTGCCCAAAAACCCATGGGTGAGAAGCCACATGACTGGGGAAGAGAGTGGAGGGGACCCGGAATCACCCAGTGTTTTGGGCTGTATGGTAGGCTAAGTGTATGAATGGGCATTCATCTTATGGTTCCAGTGTTGGCAGACGGCACATAGTAACATTCATATTTTCCACGTACACTGTGCTTGTATTAGAAGTACATAGCTCTGCCTCCAGCCTTTTTACCACCAGGAAATCATTTTCAGGTCTCAAGGAGCCTTGCAAAAATTAATACATGGGTGGTCAACAGAAGGTATGCCCCCTTGCATTGCCGGTCAATGGGAAAAATCACTCTCATGCATTGGTGGTCCGTGTTAAGAATGCCCCCCACTTCCATTGGTGGTCCGTGTTAAGAACGTCCACATTGCATTGGTGGTCACTGGCACAAATGCCCCGCCTGCATTGGTGGTCACTGGCAAGAATGGCACCGCCTGCATTGATGGTCACTGGCAAGAATGGCCCCCTTGCATTGGTGGTCACTGGCAAGAATGAGCCCCCTTAAATTGGTGGCTAGTGTAAAGAATGCAAGTGGCACCGGATCTGCCTCTCCTCGCTCTCTCTCTCCTGGCTGTCTCTACCCGCTCTCTCTCCTGGCTGTCTCTCCTCGCTCTCTCTCCTAGCTGTCTCCTCACTCTCTCTCCACTGGCTGTCTCCTCACTCTCTCCCCTGGCTGTCTTTTCTTGCTCTCTCCCCTGGCTGTCTCTCTTGCTCTCTCTCCTAGCTGTCTCTCCTCACTCTCTCCTGGCTGTCTCTCCTCACTCTCTCTCCACTAGCTGTCTCCTCACTTCTCTCTCCTGGCTGTCTCTCCTCGCTCTGCCCCCTGAATGTCCCTTTTCTCTTACCAGGCTGTCTCTCCTCGCTCTCTTCCCCTGGCTGTCTCTCCTCACTCTCCCCTGGCTGTCTCTCCTCGCTCTCTAACCTGGTTGTCTCCTCACTCTCTCTCCCCTGGCTGTCTCTCCTCGATCTCTCTCCCCTGGCTGTCTTCCCTCTCGCGCTCTCTCCCCTGGCTGTCCCTCCTCGCTCCCGGCTGTCTCTCCTAATGCGGCCCCCTTGGAGAAAGAAAATGTGTCCAGTGGCCCCCAGGTCATTGAAAATGTGCCCAGTGTCCTACTCCTAAAGGTGGTGCTATAACCCAATGATCAGAGATTCAGATTTAAAATGTGTTATTCACAAATGGAAGATAAATTATTATTATTATTATACAGGATTTATATAGCGTCAACAGTTTGTGCAGCGCTTTACAATATAAGGGAGACATTACAATCACAATACAATTCAACACAAGATGGTAAGGAGGGTAAAGAAATGTCTTTAAAATAGCCACTTAGAGTGTTTGTAAATAACTGGACATAGTTTGCTTACTATGTTCCAGTTATGAATGAATGTGAAGTGCTCTGAATCACTTCCTGTCCACTCATGATTGTGGACATGGTAACTTACACTATATCCACAATGTATGAATGGACAGGAGCACTCAGTATAACGGCTTCTTGTTCATTCGTAACAGGGGCTGCAGAAAAAGCGATTTAGGATTCTGTGTCCTCAATCTCTTTTTCTATTTTAAAAGGGAAATATTAGGGATCTGTTTAGACCCCGGACATTTCCCTGGAGCCCCTAGCAGTAAAGTAAAAAAATAAAAATCATTAAAACAATAATTAAAACATTTTTAAAAAGGATGGAAAAAAACATCATTTTTGGTTTCAGTCTGACAATTTTTTTTTTTTTTTTTTCGGTTTCGGTCTCATAATTTTATTTCGGTGCATCCCTAGTTATAACACTTGTCAGCTTTTTCTGCCATATGTGTCCCATTGAAGAGATTTCTCTTAACTTCCTGCCCAGTAGCCTCAACACTCAGCCCAGTACCCTTTTGTTAATAGAGTAAGGGAGGGTTATAACCCTTGTCAACTTTTTCTTGTTTGGCACCCTCATTGGACTTTATATACACACAATAAAAACCTGAGAGGTTTTCAAATCCATCTATACTCAGTTGCTTTTTAAAATTATATTAGTCAAAATGTTTTTGAGCTTTTTAAGATGCTGATGAAATCACTTACAATGGATGCTGCTTCTTGTTGTTTAGAACGTTTAGTTTCCTGCAGAATCAGATGCTCCTCTGAGCACCGGCCCCGATATCCTGATTTAGGGTGGGTCATTTCCCTTGCAGAGTCCTATGTCCTAGCAAACACAAGGGCAACTCCGTAGGACATACATGGCAATAAATACATGATAATAAATACTTTTCCTTGTCGCACTCCTTACCGAAAGTCCCTCGTAGTGGGGGGGGGGTTCTCACAGTGACTGCGGGTGGCGCCTGCAAGTATCAGGCATTGTATAGAGATGTCCCCAACACACCAAAATCAGGATAAGAGGATTTCGATTTGCTGGTGACATCTCTACACAATTGTCCACACATGGCAACTGTAGAAGGACAGTTGCTGTACACTGTGCTGCCCCTTGTGATCTTGTACTGAACAGGAAGTTTAGGGAAGTTGAGCTGAAAGAGTTGGATCCAGTTATTCGGAAACATGATGACTGTAAGTATTTGGGCAACAATGTAAAGAAATCCTTTGCAGGGTAAAGTATACTGCCTGGCCACAGAAAGTCACCATCTGGATTTAGCTAGGCAAATAGGTTCCTTCCATTGGATAATTACTAGGTTGAGCAATATTATGTGCCCAAAAAATGAGTTCAGCTGCCTACCTGAATGACCAGGTTTTTCCAAGAATGGATTTTTTCTTCCCCGATGACAATGCCAGGATTCATTGGGCTCAAATTGTGAAAGAGTGGTTCAGGGAGTATGATACCTCATTTTCACACATGGATTGGCCGCCACAAAGTCCAGACCCTAACCCCATTGAGAATCTTTGGGATGTGCTGGAGAAGACTTTACACATCACTACAAGATCTCCCATCATCACTACAAGATCTTCCATCATCACTACAAGATCTTGGTGAAAAATGAATACAACTCTGGGCAGAAATGAATGTTGTGACATTGCTTAAGCTTATGGAAACAATACCACAGCGAATGCTTGCCGAAATCAAAGCTAAAAGCGGTCCAACAAAAAATATTAGAGTGTGCAACTTTTTTTTGGCCAGGTAATGTATATTTGTTTGGTCTGTATTCATTATTGAAAACAGTTTGAGAATATAATACTACTTTAACATTACAGAAAAAGTCCAGTTAAATGTGATCATCTAGTACAGCAGTGGCGAACCTATGGCACATGTGCCACAGAGGCCCCTCTGGTGGCACCCGAATCGCGGCAGTCATCTTTAAACCTGGCAGGTGCCCAGATCCTATTTCATATATTGCCGAACCAGCAATATATTAAATAAAAACCATCCCATAGTGGTCCAGTGGAGGATAAGTATGATCTGCATCTGTTGCTGATGCAGACCATACTGATTGCTCCCTCGTAGTGCCATTGCTTACAGGCAGGAGTGATTAGTATGGTCTGAATCAGCCAGAGATGCAGATCACACTGATCCTCCACTGAACCACCAGGGATAAGCCTCCAGTGCCCCACCGGATCCCAGGGATGCAGCCCCCTCCCTGCAAAACAAGTAAGCAGGAGAAGGGGCAATGTTTTAATTATTTCTTTTTATTGTTAGTAGTACTGTGTTTTTTAATGAGTTTGTGTGTTGTGTTTTAATGAAGATATGTGTGTGTTTTAATGCGTGTGTTTTTTTTTATGTAATTTTTTTATGAGTGTCTGATGTGCCCAGATAGCAAGCAATTGAGCTGCAAGTTTGAAAATGACTTGCTAAACCATTGCAGACTTGCCAAGCTTCACAATTTTGTTGCACAATTACAGCAAGTCTGCCTTGCAAGTCTCCGGATCAATGTGCTTTGCAAAAGTGCTGTACACTTGCAGAGCTCTTGCCAAGACCTGCAGGACTCTTGCTGTAGGCTTGCCAAGCACATTTGCTACAAATTCAAAAAGTGTCAACTAGAACTTTGTTCTGCAAGTGTTCTGGAAGTCTACAACTTGCCAGGGAATGTGTGCAGCAAGTTAACAAGAATTACAATTTAACCCTGACACAAGTTTGTGCAAGTTATCCTTGCTATCTGGGTGTGTGTTTTAGTGAGTGTATAAATGTTTGAATATGTTTCCCTATGTTGCCTAAGCAGTTTTTTAAAACCTCAGCGCCCGAACTGCACTACAATACTAAACTTATTTTCACCCCTGGCACTTAGAGATAAATACATTGATTTTGCGTCGCAGTTTGGGCACTCGGGTTCAAAAACGTTCGCCATCACGGATCTAGTACTATCTTTGGTTCAGTGTACCCCAGTCAAGGGATACCACCCACTGAGGTATGACCATTCCATAGTCGCCAAATGTCCACCTCTCTGTATGATGGCACCCTCCTCCATTTTGCATATTAGGCCTGGCTTACTTGAGAATCTTTATAGAAACAATTGTGTGATTATTCACTTCAAATATCCCACCATGTGAAAAACAAATTCCTGATCATCTTGATTACCCAATCACGTGCAGATGCTTTTCACATGATTGAATAATCCAAGTGAATTTTGTTGTGTAAAGATTTCCATCACCTTGCCTGATGTTGCCCTATGCCCCATGGAATGTTGTCATATCTGATCCTATCCCATGAAAGTGGCCTTCCCGTGTCGTTGGCACACCTGTGAACAAATACCTCTGTAGGTCAATGTTCCCAAGAAACTTCCTGTCCTTTTTCCTGCAGAAACTTGGTGACATCATTTTTCTATGCTGCACAAGCCTCGGCTCACAGTGTAACCATCTATCATGGGAGGGGAGTATGAGGAGTAGAAGGCATGAATGAGAGAATAATCCCTTAGCTTCATTCAAACATGTGAGTGTGCTCCAGCAGCACCACCACCATCCCGTCCTGTATGTGTCAGCCTCTCCCTCCGGCTTCTCATTACCCAGCATGCAGCGGGGGATTTAACACCAAGATGGCTGACACTATGGAGGAGTATGAAAAAGACGCTGGCTGCGTCCCGATCCTGCACCCGGAGGTGAGTAGCCGCTGATTGGCGGCCAGTTCTCCGGGGGAGCGGGATGCTTGAGGTCGGGGAGCCGGCCTGCTATAATGGACAGTTACAGGCTGGGGTGGGGGAAGTTCGCTGCTGTGGAGGATGCTCGGTGAGGTGCAGGGGAGCATCGCGGCCTGTGTATATCCCGGGGACAAGGTATATGTTATCTACTAGTCTGGGGACCCTATCGGCAGCCTGACACCACCACCCGATTGGCACTTGTACCCGCACACCACTGATGAACGGGGTCACCGATCTGTATGACAGTTGGGCGACAAGTGCCAGCAATTCTTCCTGTGCTCTGATCATTGCTTCAGCACTGGCACAGGGGATGGAAGCTGCATGTGGCAGTCACAGGGTTAATTGTGACCCCTTGTGTGAGTCAGGGCCACAGCTTGTAATTGTCCTTACCATGTCTCATTCATCACAAGGGTTACCATCTGTCCCCAGGCAAGGAATAGGCCACCTTCCTGTTTACATTGTACAGTCTCTGAAGATGGGAGGATCATGCTCCCATTACACACAGGGTTAAAGTGGATCTAACCCCAAGAGCACAAATGTCATATATTGCAGCTTATCATTCATTAGATGTGGTGGCTGCATTCGTTTTATTTTTACTTGGCGGTCCTGCCAGTAACACACTTCCTGTCCTAAGGTGACACCACTCACTTTGGGGGAATGTATTGTAACTGGGTCAGACAATCCATGGAGCAGTTGCCTATGGCAACCAGTCAGGTTCTATTGTTTATATTCAAAGCTTCAAGAGGAACTTCACCCTTATCTTTGAAATGACAACAAATAGATCTTTAGAAATGTTTAGTAATGACAATCTACAAACAGGTACTTATATAGAATTGCAGGTGTTCTGTCCAAATGTTCAACGCGTCGAGATCTCCAACTTGTGAAGTCACGTCTGGTCACTTGCCAGTAAGAGATTTTGACGAGATGGCGCTAGTGCATGTGCACCGGCTTTGGCAGTGTCAGAATCCTCGTTGACTTCTCCTGTTCCCGTCAGTGCGCCTGCGTGCCTTCACAATCCTCGTCGTTGCAAAACAAAGGCAGCCAATCAGAGAGCATCTTCTGCTAACAGATTTCATGTTATGCCATCGGGTGGGTGCGCAGTAACGCTAATTGGAGAACTTGATGCTGCTCTTGGGTGGCTGCGCAGGTGCACTGATGGGAATTGGAGAACTCGATGCAGACTCTGACACTGCCATGGCTGGCACACGTGCAGTAGCACCACCTCGTCGAAAATCCCCTACTGGCAAGTCACCGGACGTGACGTCACGAGTTGGAAATCTCGATGCATTGGATATTTTGATAGAACACGGCTTTTTATTCTTTGTATACCTTCTATTTCTTTTCCTCCCCATTCTTCTCACAGTGGCCATGGTAACTAAGGGCAGGTTGCTAGCTATCCCTTTACTTCCTGGAACTCTGGCACCTGTGACTAGGACATGTGACCATGGACATCATCCCGGGGGAGGAAAATGCCTTTCCCCGAGATCTCATGAGATTACAGATGAGATTTCCTAGCAATGCTCTGCTCATGTAACCTTCCCAGGATGCAATGCTTGGGCACATTACATCATTTGTGCCAAAGAGGACCAGGATGTGGAAAAGCTGTAATTGTAAGTAAAATAGAAATATGTTTAATGAATGTAAGGTGTTCATATCAGTATACAGAGCTGAAGGCTGATGGGATTTTTATTAAAAGGGGGCAAAGGTCCACTTTTACTGAAAAAAATGAAGATAGAAACTGGTTACTATGGGCCACTGTTCCAAATTCTGTTGGGCCCAGTTTTGATAAATTCCCTCCACTGTCCTGTATCTATGTAGAAGCAGTGTTGTCACAGGAATGTGCTAGGACTACAGAACACCTCCCCCTTTGTTATGGAGAACAGGGGGAGGTTTTCTGTAATCCTAGCACACTTCCCGATATAATGAAATTGCAGAGTGCACAGAGTGTCCCTGGATTTCTGGAAGGATCAATGGCTATTTCTGGCACTTATAAAACATATAGAACAAAACACCTACAACGGTGTCTTTAACTGAACAAAGGGGAGCAAATAAAGAAGTTAATTGTTGGGGATTATGTACACATTAACCTCTTGCCGTCCGCCCGTAGTAAAAAAAAAGGACGGACGGCACTGCTGCATTGGCGGTTAATTTTTCCTTAATATAGTAAAAAATAAAAACCCCAGTGGTGAATAAATACCACCAAAAGAAAGCTCTATCTGTCCCCAAAAAAGGGTATAAAATTCATTTCAGTACAGCGTTGCATGATGGAATAAATGTCAGTCAAAGTACCGCAGCTCTAAATACTGAAAAATGGCCTGGATGGGAAGGGGGTTTAACACCACGGACTTCAAGTGGTTAACTGGTGTATAAAGGCCAATAACAGTACAGGTCAAAAGTCCCAGGCTTCTCTTCATTCTACCCTTTCTGAGTTTATAAAAAAGAACAATATTCTAGTAGGAAGTAAATATGTCCGGCGTGTAGGTGACAGATGAGACCACGAAGAAGAAAGTTCAATCAGATTTCCTTTATTAAAAAAGAAAAACATTTGTAGTAAAACTGTCTGACCTGTAGGTGTTGGGTTTTAGAATTGTTTGACTTAACCACTAACATTTGAGTACATAAGGCTGTGCGGATCTTTGTAGCCCGTATTGGGGGTGTGTACATGTAAAGCAAAGGATCATAGGTGAATGCGCAGGGATTGTAGGATTTGCTGTATCCTTTTACAGAGAGAACTTTTTTTGTGACCGGCGTCTGACATTTCTTGTGGCTCGCCACCTATATTCCTTCAATGTTTAAAGGTGATGTAAAGCCAACTGAATGATGTTTAATTGTTAAAGCGCTGTTTATCATAAGTATTATTTAAATACTATGACTGAAATTGATCAAAACTGGAGCAGTTGTCCATGACAACCAGTCAGCTTTTGAATTACATATTTAAGGCTTAACTGAAGACAGGAGCCAATTGGTTTCTATGGACAACATCTCCAAATTCTGTGTGCTCCAGTTTTGATTAATTCCCCCCATTTGTTTTACTGAATCACAACATCTGCGTTGGAGCTGCCCTGGAAGTTTTCAGCATGGCCCCAACGCAAGACAAGGCAATTTGGTTCCCATTCACACCGTTGTGTTGTGGTGAGAATGCGGTAGTGTGCTCTGGAAAAAAAAAAAGTAAGACGTGCCTTACTTTTTTTCAGCGCAGCATGATGTAATGCAGTACAACCACTGCGCACCCCGCTGTGCTCGTAGAACTTAATAAAATGTCACTTTTGATATTTCAATAAAGTTTTACCAAAAAAAAGAAAGTGTGGCTGGCTGGGATCCGTGCTGCGTGCACGGCCGTATGGGGCCGTTCCTGGGAAGGACAGGTGCTGCGTGTAATCTTCCCCATGGCAGTACGCTGACCCGAACTGCACGTCCATGTGGGTGTCCGTACTCGTACGCTGACGGGATAGATCCTGTCTGTGTCCGAGCAGGGACACCCGCATGGACGTGCAGTTCGGGTGAGCGTAGGGCGGCGTACGGCCGCGTACCCCCATAGAGTAATCGCACTCCGCACCTGTCCTTCCCGGGAGCAGCCCGATAAGGCCGTGCACACAGCACGGATCTGCACGGGCCGGCTGTTACTCATGTGAATGAGGGCTTAGGTTGCTCTATTGCTGACTTAAACCATTTTTGTGTGCTTGAAGGGGGAGAGAAGCACAGTGGGGTCAGTATTTACTGTATTTCTTCTGGTCCCTTAAAGTGGAAGTAAAGGAGTTTCGGCCTACCTGGAGCTTTTGCCGTAATGTGCAAGTATACACAGGATATTAACACATTATGGGGCATTTAACTTGTAACGTGCCCTCCTCCAGCACTGTGACATCTGCAATCTCTGCCGGTATCGCTGTCATCTTCTCCGGTCTTTGGCCTCCTTGGTTGGCCAGTTCAGGATTATGTAACTCCCGCACATGCACACAGGAGTTAATGCCATCACCATACACTTATTCTAACCCAGGGCCGGATAAATCCCTGGAGCCAGGTAGTCCATGCTCCTTAAAAATGACAGCTGGCGCCTAACTTTAGAGGTGTTTTCTCTAGTTGTTGTCAGTGTAGCTGACCCTAAAAAAATCCTGCTGGCTCTTGGAATGGACAGAGTGGATCCTGAATTCTGTATTCATTTGTCCCTCCTGCCCTAACAGTTCCCAGGATTGTACACCGAGCTCTGCTAGCAGGCAAGTGCAACAATTTTATGACCCACAGAGTCTCTTATCACTTCAATATCTATCTGCCAACATTTTTTTTACACTGCGGGTTTAGTTCTGCTTTTAATGCTTTTATATTTTCCATGGTTTAAGGGTAAGTGAATTTTCAAAAGGGGCCTACCTAAATTCCAAGCAAGGGATTTAAATACAATTAGGGCTGCAACAACTAATCGACATAATCGATTATAATCGATTATTGAAAAAGTTGTCAACTTTTTCAATAATCGATTAATCGGCTTCCGATCAGTTGGCCCTGTTCACGGCTCCACACACGCTGCACCTCCTCCCCAACTCACGCTCACCGCTGCCAGACCCGCCCGCATCCACGCTCTACACCCCGCACCTCCTTCCCGCCTCACACTCACCTCCTGCCCACATCCACGATCGGCACAGGGACGCGGGGAGATGTAGTAAGGAGGAAGAGGTGTGGGGTGATGACAGCTGCCGATAGACAGGCCCGATCTCAAAAGCAAGTTGCTGGAAGACTGCTCAGGTAAGCCTGCACTTTCCCACACATGGTGCTCTATAATGTATTGCTGGGATTTGTATTCCTCTATAGCTGATGGTACATTGTGCTGTATATTATACAAATCCCAGCAATACATTACACACTGTATGTATAATGTATTGCTGGGATTTGTTGTACTCCTCTATAGTTGGTGATATTCTGCACTGCGCTGCATAGAGGACTACAAATCCCAGCAATAATACATTATACAG